CCATACCTTTTTAGGAATGCTATTTAACAGTAATAACTCATTTATAATTAATGAGCTTTAGGGAGCGGTCATTATTTATGGTGGGGGGTGGCACCGAAGAGAAATGTTTTTCATGGCAAAATTTTGCTGACCCAACCATTAAAAAGTAAAAAATTTGATTACCCAACCTCAAATATCAATTAAAAAATAAATACTCACCCCTGGCCAAAAACTTTACAAAAAGGTACCATTCAGTTGTCACACATGTCCCTTGCCACTTCTGTGACATGAGTTTGATAACGGATTGTGAATTTTTTTGCAGACTAAAGTTTCATGTTGTCTGCACATGTACTTTCTTTGGAGACACCATTTGTCTCCCAACAAATTGAAAAACAGTGATCAAGATAGTGACTCCGATTGATTCACATATTGTATTGACATATGACTGTTGACATTGCTTTTTAGTCTCCAATATTTCAGTGAGTCATGCTTTGGAAATTATTATTACCCAACCCTTGATTTGTTTTGTTTTTCATTTACCCAACCTTTTACTCACTCAAAATTTTGTTTACCCAACCCTTTTCTCTTCGGTGCCACCCCCTGCCATAAATAATGACCGGTCCCTAAGACAAGAACAGTTCTTGTTCAAGGACAGCATACATCAAAGACAAAGCATCAGGTTTACAGGCTGCGTATATACAATTTTCGTGAAGTTTGAGTTTCAAGGATAGTCCATGCAAAGATCTAAGGACGATGTTTTCCGGCGGAGTTTGAAAAAGATCAACATATACCTTATTTAGTGATGATTGAATTATTTAAACAACGACATAATCGATCTCATATATATTGCTAATAACATTCAATTTGCTTTCAATATTCGACAAATATATCCCAAAGTAAAAAAGCGCTAATATTCCACTGCCTAATTTAATCCTTGTGTAAACCGTGCTTGGCTTTCTATTTGCCTAACATTCGACTAACCCGATTCCAATGACGTGGCCTTACAAACATTATGTAAGCAACGACATACTCGATTCTATATACCTATATGTTCGTCATTCGTCAACATTCATTCTCGGTTATTCTTTTAAAAGTCGACTATGAATTCTTTGTTTTGGGATGATTTGTTTTGTAATCGAGTGATTGGAAGAAGTTAATATGGCGACGTGAACATGGGAGTAAATACCGTATACGTCGATCTGTGGCTTGTTTAAAAC